TCCTGTGCTGCTGGTTTCGTCCCATCCCATCCCATCCCATCCCATCCCATCCCATCCCATCCCATCCCATCCCATCCCATCCCATCCCATCCCATCCCATCCCATCCCATCCCATCCCATCCCATCCCATCCCATCCCATCCGATCCAATCCCATCCGATCCCATCCATTCCCATCCCGTCCAATCCCGCCCCATTCCACCCCTCCCATCCGCTCCCTCCCTTCCCACCCAACTCTGTACACCACGCACCTAACAGCGGGACCTGCTGGCTCAAGGTAAGCTGACAGGGAACACATCGCCCGTGCCGGATTCACCAGCTTGCGGAGCGCCACTGCCAGATTCACCGGGGGGACGGAGGATGGAGGGACGGGGTCCGGGGGAGATGGGGGGAATTGGGGGGGGGGGGGAGGATGGAGGATGGGGCGGCGGGACAGGTGGAATGGGGGGAGGGAGTGATATGGGGGGGAATACGGGGTGATAGGAATGAGATTAGAGGCATGTGGTGAGAGGTATGGGGTGAGAGAGGCGTAGGGTGAGAGACACGATGTGAGGGGCACGGGGTGAGAGGCATGGAGTAAGAGGAATTCAGGGAAATGAACGGGGTGAGCTGCATGGGATGACTGGTGCGTGAACAGAAGCAGACAAAGGTGAGCAAGGCGTGTGTGGAAGCCCGTGGACATGCAGAGAAGGGAGGCGGGGAGGCAGCGAGGCGGTGAGACAGTGAGGCGCACCGACAGTGGTGGGTTTGCCGAGGCCGCCGTTCGCGGACGCCACACCCACAATGTGCTTCACCCCGGGCAGCGATAGGCTCTCGTCGCCGCCGCTGCCTCTGCTGCCACCGCCGCTTCTATCATTGCTGGCGCTGCTGAAAGCCTGAAACCCCTTCTGCTGGTGCCATGGGGAGTCCAAATACTCCCACCAGTGCTGTCTAGCGTGCTGCTGCAAGTCATACTACGCGGGAATTGAAGGCATTTATGCTGCCTATACGCACAGCACTGTTGCTGTTCAGCGTGCTTCTGTGGGTAATACTATGACGGAAGGCAGGGAAAGGAAACTGGTCCAGCTTGGGACTGGCGTGCGCGTGCGATTCGCGAGTGGGTGAGGGCCAGCCATGCGTGTAACGGCACCCAGCCATGCAGCACCCAGCCATGCAGCACCCAGCCATGCAGCACCCAGCCATGCAGCACCCAGCCATACGTCACCTCAACAGGACACCGATTGTGCTCTGAGCAGGACGCACCTGATCGGGCAGAATGGTCAACGGCAAAGACGACGAAATGGCCGCCCGGAAGGGTACATGGCAAATGGATACTATAATTGCTCGCAACAAGTACAGAATGAGGATAAGGAGCTAAATCTGGTGAGGAGCAGGGAGGGAACAAGCATGGGGAAAGGAGCAGAGGGAACAAGGAGCAGGGATTGAGCTATCCTTTCAGCAGCGTCGATGACTTGTGAGAGCTGTCAAAAGCGCCGGCAATGATGATGACGGTGCCGTTGCTCGTCATATTGACTCGCCATCGCCAGCTGCTCGTGCAGCTTCGACGCCCGCGATGCTCGGGAGGCCGCCTCTCGCAACCTACAATTTCGGCACTCGCAAAGCAGTTGGCGACGCACGGGACACTCGCTCGACTCGCCGTCGCCAATAGGAAACATAAGGGATGACCGCCAACAGTGTTAGTGCTACTATCGCTGACTGGGCGAAGTTTATGTTTCTATTAAGACTATCCAACGAGCAGGTGGAAGAATCATGGCCAGGAAAGTAAGAAATTGGCAGGAAGCTGCGGGAGGGAGGCCGGCAGAATAGAGCACCGTTTCTTTCTCTGATGCCTCCTGCTGTCAATTGCGCATTCGTGCCTTGCGGCGGCGCCGTCGCGCAGGAGGAATTGTGGAAGGGCGAAGAAGGATGGGGAGTGGGGAGGAGGTGCGAAAGTGATGTCCCCTTCGTAATACGAATGTTCTACCACGTTCTGACATCCTGTAGCTAGTACGGATTAGCATCACATGCAAGTGCCATCTTGCCGATTTTCTAGTCAACTTGAAATTCGCACGATGGAACTCTATCAACTCTACCATATCGTTTTTGAGCACTTCACGATTTAAGGTCGCGATAAGGCAGGTCGCGGGCTGAGCAGTACGTCACGGGCTGAGCAGTTAGTAGTTCGCTATGTCGCCAGGTCGCCGGGTCGCTGGTCGCTAGTGCCAATAATCCTCTTCAATAGCTACTTGCTCTTTGTATACTGGAAGATTTGCTGTAGGGTCCATTAGGGTTTCAATTCGTTCCGTTACTGTGAGAGAGAATGAAGAGGTCGGTGTTCGTCAAACAGGGTCAGCTGCTGTCCTGATTCGTCTAAGTCGCAGACCTGGCGGGATTTTTTGGTAGCTGGACACGCCCTGCTGGCATGCCACGCCACCATAGAAACTTGTCACCCTGGAAATCGCGAGAGAATGGTAACTTGACAATCCATTCGCATCCGTCGGGATCCACACCACAATCCACGGCTGAATGGGAGGTCGCAGCTCGCTGATTCCACGTCACCAGCCCTGGTTGGGGTTTTGGGGCCACGCAAGGGATCTGCAAAGAAATTTTGGCAAGGGACTGGGCGATCATCATCGCCCTCAACTCCCACCCTCACCTCCCTGCTGCGGCTGTCATCTCCACTTCATTTCCTAGCTTAATAAGCTTCCTCTCGCGGATTCCTCGTCTGCTGGTAACACTAGTTTTTTTGTTTAACCGTCTACAGATATTAGGCTGTAGAATTATGCTCGGCTTGTGACGCACACAAGTTCACAAACGATTAAAAACAACCATTTCCTGGAATCGCTGCACCTCGATGGCAACTTCGGACGGCGCGGAGCGCCTCATTTCGGCTCAGCTTACTCATCTTTCTGACGTGTCTCGCCGTGGTTTCTCCAGTCCGCTGTGTCCCGCTCGTCGACTCCCAAGGTTCGTCCGACGAACCTTTTGTTTCACCCCCGTGCTATGTACTTGTTCTGCTAGATATGGAGCTGCGTAGAGCAAATTGTAGCAAGATGGGATTCGCCATGCCTGCGTGCATTTGAATACCTGAACGGTTGGAACCGCCCTTTGCCTAGGTAGCTCCCTTTCCCTTCGTCAGTGATTAGATGTTACTAGAATCGGCAGCAGGACATGGCATCGAGGCGTATGCCAAGATGCCATGCTAGAGTGGCGATACGGTTTTCCCCCAAGTCGCCATCCCTTCTTCCTAGCATTAATATCCACCTAAAAATCTTGTATTATAATCTCATCCTATTCTATCATTGGTGTCTTTACTCCTATCTTTTTGAAAGTATTCTTCTCTCTTCTCTCATCTACGTCTCCAGAGCTGGGCTTCTCCCTCCAGCCTATCTCCCTTTTCTTCTGCTGCAAGACTCTCCTCTTATTCTTTCTTAGCTAAGGCGCCCCTCCTTAGGCGCTGGGTTGGCCAGGCCAACCGCGCCGTGCATCGCTGCGCCGTAGCTCCTGTTTCAAAATTGAATGTAGCAGAACCTAATAGTACATAGTATGGGGGGCAACAATTTTGGGATCCTTGCAAAACGAACTTAGCAGTCAGTGGCCCGCACTCGACCCCCACCACGTAATCTTCCTGTATTTGTTGTGCTGATAAATCTCATGTCTTCTGGATCCTTGGTGATGGTAGTATGATGCATTCCAGCAAGGGTTCCATGGAGGCTCACACACCGGCACCACCATGACGCGGACGCATTCGGCTTGGCTGCCAGCGTGCGTCACACTGATCTACGGAGTTTCCGCTGTGTTTCCTTTGGTTGAGCTCATGCCGCACGAGCAAAATGTCATGCACGACTATTGTGGGTTCAGGTTCAGCATCAACCTTGCCACGGCGGCAGATCATCAAAGTAAAGTGACGCTATCAGCGATAGCGATGAGCATGAAAGTGGGCCAGGGCCCGCCCGAAAATGCCCCGGGCCGGGCATCATAAGAGGCGGGCCGGGCGGGCCGCATCGGAGCGCAAAAATACAACAGAAACAGCCCAAAAATACATCCTGTGGGCGATTATGACAGCACCCGGGCCGGGCCGGCCCGGGTCGGGCCATGCAGAGCCCGGGTCGGGCCGGGCACGGCCCGCCCGCCTTGAGGGCGGGCTCGGGCCAAGAGTTTCCTTCTATGGCCCGGGTCGGGCCGGGCCAGCCCGGCCCGCTTTTTTGCGCAGCCCGGGGTGGGCCCGACCCGGGCCGGGCCCGGCCCGCCCGGTGCTCAACGATAGCCTATCGCATGTATCCATCAGAATCGTGTTTCTATTAGAATAGTTTTCCAACGCCTGGTGCCTAGAAGCTTGTTCGACCAATTTCAAGTTTGACATTGCACCTCTCTGCTCTACTGATGTCTGGTGCAGGGGTTGAAAGAGGGAGGGAAAGCCATACGAAGCGTTGATGAGCTGATACATTCATCTCTTCTTTTTCCTGCTCCATTGCAGCCTCTCTCCTCCCTGCTAGCGCAATCAGTGCAACTCCTGCTGGCTGGAATTCCAGCAAGCATAGGGGGGGGATTTGATGTATGGGTGGCTTGCTGCCATGGATGGATGCAGCAATACCAGGGCGTTGTGGCTCATTTACGACCACGAGTACTAGTATTCGTAGTAAAATAACTTGGTGGAGTGCCTAAAAGAGCTCAGGAATGCTCATGCCCAACGATATATACCTCCTATTTGATCTCGTTACTGTTTACACCTCTTATCTTATGTCGTTTTCAACGGATAAGTCAGTGGCCACGGCATGCCCATGCTCCCATGCGCACAATGCTTATCGTTTTGGCACTTTTAATCTGCGAGTCACGGTAGTTACTTCACCATCGCATGCGTCCATTCCGCACTTGTGGCACAGGCTGATGAGTGAGGGAGGAAGAGAAGGGTGCAACACGCAGGTGATGAGAGCCAATTTATCCCTCCTCTGTTCCCTGCCCCAGCCTCTATCCTTCTCTTGCCCTCCCTCCTGCACCCCTCTCCCCCACCATTTGCCGCCAGTGCGAGTCCTGCAGGACTTGCAGCAAGCGTGGGGGCAGAATTTCTCTGGGTGGGTGGCTGGGGGGGACTGCAGCTTGGCCTCCAATGTGACCTGCGATGCCCAAGGCATGGTGACCAACATGTGAGAGCACCAACTCTAGCTGGTCTTGCATCCCCCATGTGTGAACCAACTCTTGCTGGACTTGACTTGAGAGCCTGCATCTTCTCTCCCTCCACCATTCTGCGTTAGAGTTGAGCATGTGGCCCGACCCGGCCCGACCCGACCCAATTTGGCCGGGCCACACGGGCCCTCGGGTCGGGTCGGGTCGGGCCGACCTCGGGCCAGAATCTTGAAACATTTGGCCCGACCCGGGCCAACTGACTCGGGTCAAAGGGGACCCGGGGTCGGGTCTAGCCGGGTTGGGCCAGGCAGACCCGCCCCCTTAGGGGAGGCTGGGGGTATTCATCACAATGTGCATTTAAACGTGTGCTCGCGGATTCCCCGTCACCGTGCAAGCGGCCGGCGCGAACCTACATAAAATCGTGCAGCGGTTGCCGGTAAATGCGTCCACTACAGCGGAAACGCCACGGATGTAATGGGGTCGAAGGAAAGTAGAGGTTGCGCTTGAATCTAGGTACCCTAAAAACTACGAAATTGACCTGCGCGAAATGCACTAAGTGCAGCCAGAATCGTATATCTACGAATGTAACTGAAAGTATGTGCATTTGGGCGAGAAAGCCTAAGATAGGAGATAGTTAAAAGGAAGGTACTTAATACCCTAAGGCCACTAGCTGCTGGGGTGGCGAATGTAAATCGACGGGGAAAAAATCCCCTCGATCGATTTACATTTGGGCTAGGGTTTCGGCCCTAGCCCTGTCGAAATCGGGTCGCGCACCTGGCCCGACCAGATTTCGACATTTTAGACCCGAAATCGGGTCGGGGCAGGCCCGACCCGAAACCCGGCTCGGCCCGGCCCGAAATGGGCCCTCGGGTCGGGTCGGCCCGTACGGGGCAGAGATTCAGAAACCTTGACCCGACCCGGGCAAAACCACGGGTCGGGTCGGGTCGGGTCGGGTCGGCCCGACCCGAGAGGGGCACCTGCTCAACTCTATTCTGCGTGCTCTGCGTTTGCACTTTCTTGTTGCATTTTGGAGAGCTAACCCTTGCCGGCCATGCAATCTGCGTGTTTTTTTTTGTATTTCTCTTGCATTCCCTTTCTTCGTTAACCGCTCTTGCCATTGTCTCTCCCTCTTCCAAACTGACTGTCTGCTTTGATGAGCCCATTAGGATGGTCCCTACTATTCTTGAAGGCATGTTAGGATGGTACCATGTTAACTCATCAGGATTAAGAATTAAGGATCATCGGGCAAGTGAACATGTTCGATGTTGATTCTGGAACAATTTTCCATGCTGAATCGGTTGTACGTTTTAATCACTTTAAAGATGGGGTCCTCCTACGAGGAAGAGAGCAGGGCAGGCACAGCTTCAGTAGGTCTACCATGCATAATTCAGAGCATGAGTTGGCATGTCAAGTGGTATGGCAACAGGTGCAGCTGCAGGTACTTGCGTTCGCTGATTGAGCCCTTGCGGACCATGGATTCGCTGGATGCCTTTGTGTGTTTCTTTGTTCTTCACTTGCACTCCCTTGCTACTTGAACCGTTCATCCCATGGTCATCCTCTCATCCAAACCCACTGTCTGCTTTCGTGGACCCTTTGGAATCATTCCATGTTAAAGTCATGTTCAAAGTTTTGTTAAGGTTAGAATCTATCTTTGAACATGATTGAGGAACATCTTCCATGTTTTATCGGAGGTGAATCAGGGGTTTTATAGAGGGGCAGAGAGAGCAGGACAGGCGCAATTCTAGTAGTTCTAACATGCCCAAGTCAGAAAACTAGTTGGCATGCCAAAGGGAATGGCAACTGTTGTAGATGCAGCTGGTCTGTGCACAATGTCAACAAAGAAGTAGAAAAAATGGGTGAGTGGAAGGAGGGAGGTTGTGGTGGTGCATATGAGAGGTGTGGAAAGGTTTGCAATGAGTGTGTTGGGGGTCAGCTAAAGGGTTTGCTACGTGCCATGGGGACGAATTTCACACAGAAATGCGGCGAAATGTCATTGCAGAAACAAATCGTCCATTTGAAAACACAGTGACGAAAGGTAGACATTTGGAGGCAGTACTAGGTGTTAATGTTGTCTAACCTACCTTATCATCCCCCTTCCCTTCTCTGTTTCCCTCTGTTTTCTGTTGCGTGGTTCATATTGAAAGGAGTTCAATGCAGTAGAATGCTACCCAAATGCACCTCCCAGGTCTCTATCATCTCCATGCATGCAGGCGCAGGTGGACAACATGTGGGCTGCATGGGCCTCTCCTTCTCAAATAGTACCGACACCCCTTGATGGATTCACCAATCTCTCATTTTATTGCACTCTTGATCTCGTTTCATAACAAAATTATCATGTTCCCCACCCATTTCATTCCACTGCCCACCAGTTGGCTAAGTTACAGACAATTAACCGGATCCATTCCAGATTCCATCAGTGCCTTGAACAGGATGACCTATCTGTGAGTATGAGTGGGAGCATGCACAAATGCAGACACTGAAGACAATATGTGATGGAGTATGTTGTTCTAAGCACTGTGCATGCACAGCTGTTTCAGGTCATAGTTGTATCCTGCTGTGCCTTCCCACCAACACAAACATTGCGTACTCTATATCCTTTTCTCCTGCGTCTGAATGTGTACACATTTGCATGTTTGCCATGAGGCGCAAGTTGTCTTCATTTATTTCCACCCATAATATACTTTGCTTGCTTTACCATCAGAGCTCTTAGCGTCAACGCTCTGAGTGGGTCTATTCCATCCACCATCGGCAAAATGAGCAGCCTCAAAAGATTGTGCGTATCGGCAAGGAATCCAGAAAGAGAGCCCTAACTGACCTCGCACAGATTCGTACATAAAGGGGCCTCTGATGGTGTGATTTGAGCAACTTGTTTTGAGAACGAGCATACAAGCTATGCATGAGGAGGAGGGAGTCTGCGCCAGCGCGAATGTGAATTGCGATCCATTGGGGATGGAAGGTGCCCCTGAACTGGCAGAGAGAGAATGCAGTCATTCCTCCTGTGTGCCCACAGCGACCTGTCACTGTTGTGAGCCGATCCATCTCGCCACTCACAGTGGTGAGCAGGATTTGCTGCGAATCTCTCCACATTAGCCTCACTATATGGTCCCGAAATGTCCAGGCGGTAAGATACATGGGCAAGGTTATGAGGCCCCGTAACTGAGCCTCGAGAGTTCCATTGCACAAAATAGTGGGTTTGAGCATAGGCCTATGACCAGCTTAGTCTTTCCATTGCACAACGAGCTGACTGGCCGATGAGATGAGTGGGCAGCTACAACAGCATGTGGACCTACAACAGCATAACCGCTTTGCACCGCACTTCGTTGAACTCACAACCCAACCTCCAATCGATAAATTCGGGGTGGAATTCGTGGGGAGATTCCGACGATTCCCCTGCTGCGCTGATGTCTCCATCACCAGGGGAATCTTTTTCCAAGGCTGGATTTGCTGCAGAGGCATCCACTGCCGCATATTTTGCACCTGCAGCTACGGCCGGCAAGTGTGGGGTCTGTCCTGATTGGCAGACCTACACTTTGCGTGCTGCCAGACACACCTCTTCCCAGCACTGTGATGACAGCTGAGCAAGGGCTGACGGCTGCTGAGAAAAGGGGGATTTCAAGCTTTGCTAACCAAGTACACCTTTGCCCACATGGCTGAAGCACTGTGCACTTTAGCCCTGGCTTGGGAAGGAGACGGTGCATGGTGGTGACCAACATTGGCATAGCAGATACGAGGGAAACTTCTCCTGCCCATATGACGTGTCACCAGTCCAGGCCAAAAATCAGAGTGGTGATTTTTGGGTATACATGTGCAAAGGGGCGAGCCCAGTAATGCTCGACTCCTCCCTAGCCTTGCTCGGCCAAGTTTCTACCCGAGTCGAGTAGTAATGCTCGACCGAGCATTTTTCCCCCAAACAGAAACTCGTTACTCGCCCGAGTACGAGTAATGCTCGGCCATGTGCCCTATACGGTATTTACCAGCAGGCCCGCGAAGAAAAAGGCTGTGCGATGAAATCTTGATTGGCGATTTCGATGCACAACATTGGTGTCAAGGTCGGGTGCGTACGGGAGGAATCAAGATCTCCCTCTGTGGCAGGATGTAGAGATTGGAGAGGTTGGGTTAGGTAGAGTGCATGGGATTTAGTGCGGTTCAAGGGAGTAAATGAGTTGGAAACAAATAGTTATCCAATTGTAATCGTTGCGCAAAGGACCTACAACAGCATAACCGCTTTGCACCGCACTTCGTCGAACTCACAACCCAACCTCCAATCGAAGTGGATTTTAGGTCAACTGGATCTGGCGGATTTGTTTGCTAGTAACAGTCGTCCCGGGTTTCCCGACCCCATCACCCGCTCGCACCCTGCCATACGCTTTGAGTACCTTACCAATGTTATCACTCCTAGACTCACGCAGAAACTTAGTTGTGTGTGATGTTGGTCGCAACTGGTCTAGAATGACTAATCGACGAGTTCCATAAATGCTCAGTGAGTAAAACTCGCCTCTACTCGTACGAGTAAAATTTACTAAAACCTAAACTCGTTACTCGCACCCGAACGAGTAACTCGGGTGATACCGAGCGAGTAACTCGTCTCGTTGCACACGTATACTCTTGAGTACAGGGGGTCTACTGTCCATCTCTGCACATTCGCCTCGCGACAAGACCCTGTAATGTTCAATGACAAGGTACATGGGCAAGAGAGATTTTGAATCTTCCAAACGTGGGCAGGAGATTGAGTGTTAAATTCTCTGGAACTGAAGTGGTGGGGAGATTCCGGCGCCATTCCCCCTATGCACCAATGTCCCCATCACCAGAAAAATATTATTCAAGGCTGGCTTTGCTGCAGTGGCAGCCACTACTGCAGAGTTTGCAGCTGCAGTAACGGCAGGCAGGTGTAGGGTCGGCCTGATTGGCAGACCTACGTTCTACGTGCAGCCAGACCCACCTTTTCACAGCGCTGTATGACAGCCGAGCAGGGAAGGACCGCCGGTGACACTGGGGGGATTTCAATGTCCTCTGTCCAGGTACACTTTGGCCCATATGGCTGAACCACTGTGCACTTTTGACTCCAGGGCTAGGGATGGAGATGGTGCACGGCGGTGACCAACATTGGCGGAGCAGGAGATCTCTCCCGACAGCGTAGTTATGTCAGCTGTCCAGCCCGGCACTCACATTGGTAACCTCGTGGGTACAAGGTTCTTCTTACCAGGTATAGCGTCTATTAGTTACACCATACACATATCATGTCTCGGATAAAAAAATAAAAATAAAAAAATATACTGCCCCTCAAAACCAGTCAACCCTAATCTACTCTCGCCTTCTGGCCAGAGCTGCTGGCTGACAGAATCCCCTCTGAAGGTCGACCTTTTTAAACGCCCACTCAATTGCCAGCTGAACAAGATCCGAACCTGTGAATTTGTGAGCATAAACATTTATCCAACCAGCCCAAGTATCACTTTTGAGCACACACATTCCCTCCAGAGCTATGGAATCCTGCCTCTGACTCCCCGATGTGAGAGTGATGGAATAGCTGCTGAAACCATAAATTTGTCTTCTTACTGTTGCTTCACTAGCGCTATAGGCTTCACTGTTGCTTTGGTGTGCTTGTGTAATATTCAGAACAGTGCCTCTTATGGTATCTCCTGTTGTCCATTCTTCTGATGCCTGCTCTTTACAAAATTTGTTACAAAGCCAAAAGTGAAGTATAGAAAACATGTGTGTGCTTACAGTTGGAGGCAACCTATTAAAACAAGTACCTCGAGTGACATTCAAATCTGAGCGTAACATCTCCCACTTCCAACACCGCCTATTAGAGTGTGTGTGTAAGCTGTAATGTTTACGTGTTGAACTCTCACGGTCTGTTTAGACTCCATTTCCACTTTCCTCTCCCCCCAACCGCTTGCTGTATCCGTCTTATTCCTCGGATGGAACTCTGTGCGTGTGTACATCCTCAGGGATCTATGGAACAACAAACTGAATGGGTCTATTCCATCCACCATTGACAGCATGAGCAACCTTACACACCTGTCAGTACCAAGGAAGTTTGATAAAGTTTCACCTGTGGCTTGAATGGCTGTGGTTCATTCCTTTAACTACTGCTTCAGCTGTTCTTTCGTTCAATTTGGGCATGAGCAAGGAGAGCCGGGGCTGCCCACCAGGACCATCAAGGCCCATCAGCGTAATGGGATGGTTTCACAACAAGGCTATGGGGGGTCCATCACATGGTGACAGGCAGGGGCTTCCCTCTAATCCGTGTAAATCTGGAATCTCCCCACCAAATCTACCACATTGAGCTCCTGGCCTTTCAATTCCGAATGGATTTGGCTTCAAACACGCTCGTATCAGGCCATCACATGGCAGGGCCGTAGTGCAATTAATCACCATTGACTCAAACTGCTACTTGATGTAAACAACCGGCAAACGGTGCCCACTGACAATGAGCATCTTGCCTGCCAAATCCGTGTGGATACGGCTTAACATGCTTGGCATGGCGGACACGGTACATGACCTCCTTGCAGCAAGTCAACCATGGCCGGATAGGTAGGAGGGTTGGCCTTGGTTCTGCCCTATACTCCTTTTTATGAACCTGGGCTGGCTCTTGCCTGACCGCTAAACTTATGTCTCCTTCCTGCACAATCATGTTTCTCAAACGTCCGTTACTAGGCTACCCTTGATAGAAAGTATGGGAAACCCGTATCGGTTTTCAAACTAGCGAGAGCAAGAGTAGAATCTTGGCCGGTGTGGTTTTTGCCTCCATGGCCATACATGACACCGGAATGGGGTCGGGAGGGTCTGGGTTGGATAATATTCCTGCCTTGCTATGACCCGTCCACTTGAGTTGGGCCAAGCTTGGTCTGGTTTTACTTGAAGCTACTCCACTTAAAGCTACTGTCGGTGACGGCAATCTTCCAAAGCTGACGCTTGAGACCACAGCTTTCTGCCGTACATGAGGGGACAAAAAACCAATCGGAACGCCGTGTAGTCACGTATGAGACGTGAGAGCCATGCAGCAGGGCATGGCTAGCCATCCATAATTCTTCGAACCCACGAGATGGGTCATGCCAACAACGCACGAGTATGTGGGAAGGACGGATGCCATCACCAGTAATGTACTCCGTGCGGAGGCATAAGCAGACATGAAAACTTGGTTCGGGCTGAACAATTGGCCAGCCTGTTCGGATCTGGAAAGATTTGATAATTGTTGGCTTGCCAAAGGTCGAACTGCACTGGTTTGCCTTGAATCATAGCCCCACGCAAACCTCGTACGGCATGCCCAAGATCCTTGCGACCTTTTTTGCGTTCCGAGAGTAAAAGCTTGTGGTAATACTGGGTGTAGATATTTAATCATGATGGCCACATAAATCTCACAAGAATCTATGTGTCGCAAGGTTGTTCTTGGACCGGTGCATTTGGGGTGGAAGGTGCCCTTGGACTGGCGAGAGAGTCAGCCACCATTCCCCCTCTGGACCAATGCTAGCATAACCAGGGGAATCTCGTCCAAGGCTTGAGGTATCAGCCACCAACACGGATGATGCACCGGGTACATTGCACCCACAACAAGGGTCGGCTAGTGTGGGGCCCATCCGGATGGGCAGGCATATGCCTCGTGCTGCAAAACCAGCCTGTTGACCAACGAGCACTCTGCGCTCAGTCCTGTGATGACGGACAAGTAGGGGAGTGAGTCCAAAGATGCTCACGTAGGAAATTAAGCTCATAAAAGTATGAGGCACATTGGCCCGCACGGCAGAACCACAGTGGTGAATCAGCGGTGAGCTTTGGAATTTGCCGATCCGGGAAGATCGGCGGGTGAAACCGCCGATCTGCTCAGATTGGCTGGCAAAAATAGGGTACAAATAAATACCCGACCCAGGTTCGGGTTGACTTGACCGAGGCCCTGGTTGAAAATGACCCGTCTGTAAAAGGCCGGGTCAGGAAAATTGGGTCGGGTCGGGATGAGTCTGTTGCCGAACTCTCCACATCACAACAAGGTCCATGCACAAGGGAGTTGTTGAATCCTCCATACATGGAAGGAGTGAAAGCAAAAACCTCTCATATAAGACTTGTCACGAAGAGAAAAGTCCCAAGAAGACCAGATATAACTTCCATGAGTTCCAACATACTCTAAGACGCCATTATTTCCTGGTCGAGTCTTTGCTCCACCAACTACTAATAAGCTGCCTTTTTAAAATGGTAAACCCTAAGCTACTCGTGAGCTCACTTTTTTCTCTCACAAACCTTCTCCCCATAAAATCCGCTAGATGGCAATTCTTAATGTCAATCTGTTCCAAACGCTCACTCATTGCAAGATGAGCAAGATATACACCAGTATAATTGTGAGCATAAACTCTCATCCAACCGGCCCCAGTTTCACTTTTGACTGCATACATCCCTGTTGAGCTAGGAAATCTTTCCACTCCCCTCTGAATCCCCAATGTGAGATTGGGATCTTGTATCCTCCCTTGGAATAGCTGCTGCAACCACGATTTTGCGTGCTTATACCTGACGCAATCATCTCCGTCTTCCCTATGTTGACGATAAATAGCCCCGCCCTCGCTTGGGCGAAGCCTCCCGTGCAGTTGGGTGCACGGGAAGTGTAGTCGGCTGCCCGCAAACTGCGCGGTAAGTGTGCGCAGGACATCAACCTAGTTAACATCTGCGGTTGGTGTCGACCTGGACGGTCGACAGGCACGCAACGAGTTTCCTGGTCGACGAGCTTTTGTGGAAGTGTGGTCTCATCGTCCAAGTTGTTGTGGCGAAGTCGACCAATGCGGCAGCACGTGGTCGACGTGGATCATCAGACAGAATTGTTGGCATGTAGCCAATATGGCATCTGGGTGATACGCGTGACGGTGCTCATCGTGCTCGACCGTCTACAAACTCCTGCGAAGTGGGTGTGCGCATGTGCTGTCACCTGCGGCTGCAGTGCTGGCGGGCCGCCCTGCTGTAGCATTGGCAAGCCACCTTGGTGCAGCGCTGGCAGGCCACCGCCCTGGTGCAGCATGAGCAAGCCACTCCCCTCTAGTGTTGGTGCGGTGCCAGCCTGCAGTGCTGGCAGGTCACCAACTTTGCTGCGCTGGCTGTCGACCTGCCTGCTTGGTAGACTGCTTTGCATCTGATGTAGTCAGTATAGCCATCACAGTTTCTACCCATTGTTGTTCTCAACTTTCGCTAGTAAAACTTTTGATATTTTACGCAGTTAACGAACAAGTTCCAAAGAGCTCGAGCACAGCTACGATCACCCAATCCACTCGTGCCTTCACCCGTAGTTCAGCTCCCACCATTGTTGATAGGCATGGGCAAATGACCCGGACGGGTCGGGTTACACGACCCGACCCGCCCTTTTGGGCGGGTCGGGTCAATCATGCCGAGCATGTCGACCCGTCCGGGTCGGGTCGGGTATACCCGGACGGGTCGGGTCGACCCGTGACCCGTCTACTTGATTTTAGGACGGGTATTAGCGACCCGCCGGGACGGGTTGACCCGTCCCGTCCGGGTCGCGTACCAAGTCAAATGATGGGGTTACCATACCCGTCATCTGCTTAGGGTACATACAATTCGTAGAGGGGGAGAACTTCAGTTGGTTTCCCCCCTCGACATTCAGATCCAGTCTATTTCCTTACCTAGCCTCTTAGAACCTTGAACTCTGGTAACACTTGCTTAAACTTGTTAGTCTCTTTATTTAAGGGCGATCTCACCATTTCGTAGCGTCGCACGACCAGGAGCGCAGCATCGCGATCTCCGTCACGCATTGGCGGGATCGCGCTATTTAATAGGCCGATCGCGGCGCAGGCATTGGCGCTGCGCGATCGCGGCCCGGCATACCCTAGACTCGCGGCCCCGCATACGCGCGATCGCGGCCCCGCATACGCGCGCCTTCAGCCGCGCCAAGGCGCCACATCCAGCAGCGCCAAGGCGCCACCTTTAGCCGCGCCAAGGCGAAAGATCCAGCAGCGCCAAGGCGCCAACCTTCAGACGCGCCAAGGCGCCACCTCCAGCAGCGCCAAGGCGCGACCTTCAGTCGCGCCAAGGCGCCAGATCCAGCCGCGCCAAGGCGCCACCTTCAGCCGCGCCAAGGCGCCACATCCAGCAGCGCCAAGGCGCCACCTCCTGCAGCGCCAAGGCGCCACCTCCAGCCGCGCCAAGGCGCCACCTCCAGCAGCGCCAAGGCGAAAGATCCAGCAACGCCAAGGCGCCACCTTCAGACGCGCCAAGGCGCGACCTTCAGCAGCGCCAAGGCGCGACCTTCAGCCGCGCCAAGGCGCCACATCCAGCCGCGCCAAGGCGCCACTCCAGCAGCGCCAAGGCGCCACCTTCAGCCACGCCAAGGCGCCACATCCAGCAGCGCCAAGGCGCCACCTCCAACGGAACATGGAAGGGGAGTCTACCCAGGGAGGTGGAGCTCCTAATGGCGGTGGACGAGCTCTGCCAGGTGCTAGTTTTAATCGACTTCCAACACCGGCTGCACAAGCCAGCTTTAGGCTGGCCAGCGCTCTACAGCACCCTATTGGGACCGATGGCGGGGAGGCAGGGTGTGAGGGGGAGGACTCCTACTGGCCTAGCAATCCTCACCCAGGGTGGCAGGGTGGTGAGCGTGCGCGTGATGCAGCTGGCGATGACGATGAGTACAGGCCTACAGCAGCGGAGGTCGAGGCGGCGGCGGCAGAGGACTCTGCCGAGGAGGCAAGAGGGGACGAGGAGGAGGAGGAGGAGGAGGAGGAGGAGGAGGAGGAGGAGGAGGAGGAGGAGGAGGAGGAGGAGGAGGAGGAGGAGGAGGAGGAGGAGGAGGAGGAGGAGGAGGAGGAGGAGGAGGAGGTGCAAGAGCAGGAGGTGGGTGCTGGCCGCAATTCAGGGGTACGTGGAGGGCCATCTGGACGGGGAGGAAGGGGTCGAGGGGGACGTGGTGGAGGACGGGCTGGTCGCGGGCAGGGTCGGTCTACACCGCGTGCGCAGCCCGTAGGCAATGCAAGGGGACGCAGTAGGGGTTTAGGTGCCGGTCCCTCGGGTGAAGGACGAGGTGGGGGGGCGGTTGGGAGGGGTGCGCACCGTGCTGCAAGGGCAGGGCGCGGTGGCAGAGGTGTTGAGGGGGCGGCCGTGGCTGCGCCCGGACCTGGAACATCGAATGCACCTTCTCAGCGCACCGATGGTGTCGGGTCCACGCCGTTGCGTGCTGGTGGCATTAGTCGGGGAGGAGGGACAGCGGGGAGTCGTGGGCGTAGGCCAAAACGTCCACGAAAGGAGGATTTGCCCAAGGATACGGTGGTTGAGGGTTTGGCAGGGAAGCACTACCCTGGTTTATTAGTGGGGATGTTTGGTGAGCTTGAGGATGGTTGTCGTCCATGCCGGGTGTGTGGCGATGTAATGGGATGGGATGGGGGTAGCACGGGCACTGGGTGGAAGCATGTCAAGCGCGCGCACTACCCACATGTGCAGATTTGGGTGCGGCGATTCCTGGACCCGGCGAAGCCAAAGGACCTAGAGTTTCCATGGGGCGGGTATGGCAAGTCGGGCGACGGGCCAGCAGTGCCCGACACGCACGGTGGTGCTTGGGAGCACGCGGCTGTCTGGCCGAACATCCCAGAAGCTGCGGCTGCAGCTGGTGGCGCGGGGGGGGTGGCGAGTGGGAGTCGTAGTGTTGCCGGCATCCACGCGTACATGAGTCCACGGGTGTCGCAGGACGAGCTACGCAGTGCTCTCGTGGAGCTGTTTGCTGATACTAACCTTCCGTTCCGTCTGGTTGACCGAGCATCTGTGAGTGAATCAACATCTACTCCACCTCTCCTCCTGCACTGGAACTCTTCATTCTTGTCAGAACATCTTTGTGACGTCCATCGTTGGATCAGATGCCCTGGTACAAGGTTTGGACGATGCCCTGTGTGTTTGTGTGCCTCCTAATTGTACATGCCCGGCCTCACCAGTTCCGTCGATTTGTCACCTTGCTGAACCCTTCGGCCGCGGATATGCTGGGATCGCGTTACCGCTTGGCACGGGACATGCAAGCATTTGCTGAGGTGGCTCGAGAGGAGCTGAGGCAGGAGATCATTGGCGACGGTCTCGCGGGGAGGGTGTCGCTTAGCATAGACATCTGGACTAGTGAGAACCATGTCGCTTTCATGTGCGTGACCGTCCATTGGATCACCAGTGACTTCAGGCTGCGTCAGGCGATTCTGGATTTCGTGCAGTTAGAGGGTTCGCACACAGGAGCTCTCATAGCACAGACGCTCGAGCGCATATTGACCGAGGCTGGCTTGCAGGATGCGGTGTTCGCTGTGACGACGGACAACGCGGAGAACAACAACAGGGCAATGCGCCTACTGTCGGGGGCCACAGCAGAGGGGCCGGATGCCTGGACATCTCATCCACTGCTCGACATTGCGCGTCACGTGCGGTACGCCCTGTCATGTCATGCCGCGATTCACAAGTGGGACATTGGTGGCATACAATTGTACGAAATGTATCACAACGTGACATCACGCGTAGCTAACTCGTTTTCCCTTATGCCCTTTCCGTATACAGCTGCCTTGCACATGTCATGAACATCGCAGTGCAGGATGCATTGAAGTTGGACGATGTGCGGGAGGCGTTGACACGCCTACGGGCTGCGTGTTCGTACATCGGATGGTCTGTCCAGCGGTCCGAGGGTTTTGCCCGTCTGCAGCGCAGGTTGGCAGGCCGAGACAACGCGAAGGTGCAACGTCTGATCGCTGACTCGCCTACACGCTGGGGCTCCACTTACGAGATGATTTGCCGCGCCTTGGAGCTGCAGCAGGCCCTGACAGTGTTCTTCAGCCGCACGGACGTGAGTATGGTGGGATCGTGTGCAATAGAACGATGGTTGTGACTATATTGAATGGTGGGTATGGGTGGCTGTCAAGTGGCTGGAAGAGTTGTGACTATGTCGGTTATAGCACATGGGGGACTATGTTGGCGCCCATCCTATGCACTTGTACGGTTGTACCTCCATCAGCACCCATCAGCACACATCAGCACCCACCATCAGCACCCATCAGCACCCATCAGCACCCATCAGCACCCACCATCACCACCCATAAGCACCCATCACCACCCATCACTACCCATCAGCACCCATCAGCACCCACCACCCGTCCTGCGTCACCGCTGTTTATTAAATTTGTGAACGCACTGCTCCACCCTTTCTGTTGTCCTACATACCAGCCCCCCCCCCCCCCCCCCCCCAGGCTGCGCGAGAAGCTCGACAAGATTCGTCTCAGTGACGTCCACTGGGACGCGCTCGTCGAGCTGAAGAACTTTCTGGAGCCCTTCCACTCGATCACCAAGGTAGCTGAGGCTTCCCTGTATCCGACAGCTGCGGCGGTGGTGCCGTTGTACAACCAGCTTCTGGACAAGCTGGAGACGACCTTCCGCGAGCCAGGCGTCTCACCCCTCACACAGGCCCTCATCACCAAAGCCCTCGGCAAGCTGAAGAAGTACCCGTACGGGTCGAAGGAAGAGTTGGCGGTTGCCACCTTCCTTGACCCCCGATACAAGACCATCTTCTTCGAGCTGCCCCAGTGGGAGGCGCTCAATGCAGCGCACGTGACGGAGGTGGGGGGATGCGCTAGGAGTGTGCAGGCCGTGGACGAGCCGACGGTGATACGCCTGGTGCGCGAGCGGTTGGTCGCACATCAGGAGAGAGTGCGCAGCCGGGGAGGTGGTGGTGAGGTTACGAGTGGCATGGGGGAGGTAACAGACAGCACTGGTTTTGCTGGTGAGGCCGCAGGGACGTCGCGTCCCGCTGGCGCGGGGGGGTCCAGCTTTGAGCATGCGCTTTTTGCACAGATGGATGCATTTGAGGCAGCGAAGGGGGGCCGGAAAAGTGATGAAGTTGACATTTACTTGGCTGAGGGCAGGCAGAAGGGTTGCCCGTTGGCGTACTAGCGTGATAGGAAGGATTTAGAGGGTTTGCGAGAAATGGCCCGGGACTATTTGGCAGTGCCAGCGACCTCTGCAGCGAGCGAGCGCGCGTTCAGCCAGGGGAGGAACGTAGTGACATGGCAGCGGCACCGCTTAAGCGCCCCTCGCGTGAGCGCGCTCATGTCTATCAAGTCATGGATGGCTCAAAACACGAGCGGCAGGTCATTGAACGTGGCAGCGGCTGCGCGTGCGCTTGTGGAGTTGTGCTATGAGGCCGAGGACGATGGGTTTTGAGTTATGTTTGCTACGGGGGGGCCTGGTTGTTATAGGCCTACGACTATTTGCCATAAACCTTCTGGTGATACCCTAGATTTTATTTATTTCCATGCTAGACATACAGTAACATGCATGTTGCTCTGATGACATACGCCATATAGATTAGTTTTTTGCAAAAGTACGTGTAGCATGCTTTGACGCCATATAATGTGTGCAATGAATCTATAGTCTAAGGCACAGTTGAACAAGTAGTATATTATAATTGTAACATGTATTCACAATGAAGCAATTCAAATTTAACACCCATACCCTGCTGCTCTGTAGCAAGTATAGACTCGACCCGACCCGACCCGTCGTGTAACTGACCCGGGAACGGGTCACAAATACCCGTGCCTACGGGGCGGGTCGGGTCATAAAAAAAGAGTCAAACCCGACCCGCCGACCCGACCCGTCCGGACCCGTTTTGGTAACGGGTCGCCCTAGACGGGACGGGTCGGGCCAGGTCGGGTCATTTGCCCATGCCTGCCGCCAGCAGAGGAGTCGGCGTCCTTCGCCGAGGTCGACGACTTGGTCGACTGCTTCTCCTTGCGCGATTGACTTCCTCCTCGACGAGATCGACGACTGCCAGACCTCCCGCGGCCTCCCTTGTCGTCGTCGTCCGAGTCACTGCGGTCGGGGCACTCGAAGGAGAGGTGGTCGGGGTCGCCGCACAGCCAGCACTCCCGACGTCGACTTCCTCCTCCTCGGCCGTTGTCCTTGGTCGACTTCTTCTTGTCGACCTCCTTGGCCGACTTCGAGCCACCGCTACCACCGCCGCCCGACTGTCCACGCTGCCCCGGTCGACCGCCTTGCTTCGCTGGGGCGACAAAGTTTGCCTGCGCCAAGAGCTCCTGGGACCGCTCAGCCTCCTGCATCGCCTCGTCCTGCAGGATGTACGAGGTCAAGTTGTCCTCGTTGAGCGTCGCCCTTGTGCTCGGCGCCATGGACAGCCGCTTCAGCAAGTTGTAGCTGCTCCGGAGCCCCTGCATGACATGGGTGATGTACGACGCCGTCGAGTACTCCGCACCGGCCATCCTGATGGTGGCGAGAATTCGCCGGGCCCGGTTGCAGTAGTCGGTCGCCGTCTCCTCGTCGCCCATGCGCAGGTGAGTCAGCTGCCCTTCCAGTTGGGCGATGAACAGGTCGTCGGTGACTTGGTAGGTCGACTCAATGAAGTGCCACGCCTGGTGGCCGGCGTCGACGTACTCCCGGCACCACTTCAAGGCGATCTGCACTCCCGGCGAGCAGCACCGCGAGATGACCGTGAAGGTCAGCAGCTGCACGGCGCGAAATTCCGCTCGCAAGTCGGGGTCGTCCGGCGTCTCCACGGTGCCTCGAGCGAAGCTGATCAGCCCGGCCATCTCCAGCTGGGGCTCGATAGCTTCCTTCCAGGTGAGGATATCTGGTCGACCGACCAGCGGGGGAGTCACCGAGATCCTGTCCGGCGTGAACTTGAAGTAGCCGTAGCTCGGCGCAATTCCGCCCGCCGTCACCTGGGACGCCGACATCGGCGTCAACCTGCTTCGTCGACCTCCGACGTCGCCCTGCGAGGTGCCCGCAGCCGACGTCGACCGAACCCCTCGCCCTTGAACGCCGCCGACTTCGTCGGCGTGAATCACACCACGCTGCCTCGACGTGCCTCCCGCACTGCTGCCGACTTGGTCGCCCCCGGCGTTGACGCCCACGTCGACGCCGCCCTCGGTGTTCACCGGTCGAGGAGAAGCAGGCCGAGAAGGGTGCTCCGTCGCCCACAAGGAACGGATGCCAGCCTCGACGACCGCCCACGGCAGGTCGCCATACTCGTTGGCCTCGTGCTTCCTCCTCGCGTTTTCCAGCCGTGCCTCCAGGGTGTCCACCACCCCCGTGTCACCTATGGCGCCTACCATGGCGACTACCGCACAGCTGCCGGCCTACGAACAACTTAGGTAAGGTGCAACTAAGTCGACTAGACTGAAAGGTAAGTCGTTGTGCCGTCCACGCTCACCGCACCATGCGAAGATAACTCCAGTAACTGGAGCTAGACTACGGACTAGGCACGGGTGCTCGTGTGATCTCTGCGTTCGTTGGTCCTTAGTCGTTTTCCTAGTGCACACACTGCTTGCTAGTTCACAAGGCAATTTGGCAAGAGTTTCACTAGAGAAAGTTGACAACAATGATACAAAGAAGTTGGCAAGGCAAGACTACATCAGAGCTAGCATGCAAGCAAGTGCCAGCGCAGCACAGTCGACCGCGTGCCAGCACAACTTGGTCGACCGCGCTCCAGCAGCGCAGAGTCGCGGCTTGCCAACACTGCAGGTCGACGACGTGCCAACGTCGCAGGTTGACGGCGCGCCAACGTTGCTCCCGCAGGACAGCAGCGCACCTACTTCGCAGGTGCTCGCAGACGATTGGCGTGCAGTGCCTCGTCACCTACACAACGCACACATCACATCAACTTCGTGCTGACGACTGCTTCTGATGCACCACGTCGACCTCGGGATACCATCACTGAGGTCGTCCTCGCCAAAACCACCTGGGCGACCATCGCAAGCCTTCGCAGCACCTCGTCACCTAGGTAACCTGGTCGACCGGGCAACCAGGTCGACCAGAGGCTCCAGTGCGTGCCCGTCGACCACCCAGGTCGACGACCACTTCCGGTCGACCTCCCAGGTCGACCACTCCCTCTGGTACGTGTCGGTCGACCTCCCAGGTCGACCACTCCCTCTGGTACGTGTCGGTCGACCTCCCAAGTCGACGGCCACCTCCAGTCGACCTCCCCAGGTCGACCACTGCTGTAGGTCGGCTGCACCCCTACATCCGACCACGAAGTCGGCTCCGCCCAAGCGAGGACGGGGCCAACACCCAACTCCCGTTGACAAGCACAGGTGCGTGAAGGCAACTTAGAAACTGGAAGGAATCAAGCCAGTTATGTGATGGCGGTGTATCACTTACTCACATTCTCTGCAAGTGTGGCACGGAAAAAGACATCCCTGCCAGGTGGCGTGAAACTGATGACAGCGATGGCAGTGATGGCAGCACCGAGTACGAGACCAACGAACAGCCCTGGCAGCAGCATGGCCACTTCAGCCATCCGAGGCATGGCTGATGGGGCGAGCCCAATGCCAGGCGTGCACGCGCACAGTGAGGTGCGGCAGAAACAAAGGAGAAAGGGAAACAGTGGCAGGAAAAGGAAGACCAAATCTGTGATTGGAGGCGACAAGGCCAGGGATGGACAGATGGAGCACGCAGGCATGCGAGATCGTGAGGCTAAGGTGAGGTATGCGGCTTCGGAGATGAAACACAAAGACAGCGATCCAAAGCAAATATGAGATTGACCATGATGGAAAGGACACAAGTGACCACAAGAGCAGGGGGGAGGGGAACGAAGGGGGGAGGAAAGGGCCAGAGCAGGATTAGCGTGGAGGGAAAGGAGTAGGAGACGAAAGGAGGCGAGGGGATGGAGAAGGAGACGGACGGGGGGGATGACGTAGGGGACGAGAAGAGCAGGGGACGGCAAGAACAGGAGATGGAAAGAAGATGGTAAACACTGGGATGCTGGAGTGAAAAACGGCAACACAGAAGTGTTGATTGCTGGCGACGAAGGTGGCGTGGCAGTCGTCAAGAGGAGAGGAACGCGTGGCAGCAAGGAGGTAAGGGGAGGTGCGAGGCAAGAGTGAGACAGGCGAGCAGCAAAGCCGCATGTGATGAGGCTGGCCACTGGCGAAAGATGGGGAGCAGCAGACCGGGTGAGACGGTGGGAGCAAAGCATAGAGGCCATACCTGGAGTGGGTGAGGTGTTCCAAGCCCTAAACCCTGGAGTGTTCCAAGTGGCAGCAGCGAGCTACCAGCTGCGAACGAGCGCTTGCTTCTCCGAGAGACAGAGACAATCTTAAGGTAGGTGAATGACGGGCGAGGGGGTGATGGAGGAGCGAGGCCACAAGAGGTAGCAGGCGGCAGTAGCGAGCTGCCAGAGGAATGGAGAGGAAGTGCACTCAAATGAGATGATCGGAGGGGGGATGATGGGGATGAAGACGGAGCACAAGTTGGAGCTGGGTACGGTGAACGGGAAGGACGAGGAACCAGGACGAGAAAGAAGCTCGAGCGAAGGAGGAGGAGGCGGGGAATGGATCAGCTCGAAGCCCCAATCGCCTTGCAGTTGCACGACTCTCGCCCTTCCCCTTCGCCCTTCGCCTTCGCCGCTTTCACGCGCCGCGGAAAGTCGCTGTCCGTGTCGTACACGGCACGGCGGTCAGCGATCGCAGCAGCGATGCGCAAACGACGGCATGATGCTTTGCTTCTTTGTGTCACCCAATCCCGACCGACCCCTTACACCGCTCGCCACTTGGCGGAAGCCGATGCCCCCCTCTCTCCTTCCGTCGCTTTCATGCACTGTGGAGAATCGTTTTCCATGTCGCACGCGACGGTTAGCGATCGCAGCATTGCTGGGCAAACGACGGCATGATGCTTCGTTTTGCTGGCACAATCTAAATCCATACAGCCCCCCGGGCCTCGTCATTTGGCGGAATCAAACGCCCCCCTTGTCTCCTTTCGGCCCAACCTCATCCCGCAGTGCATGTCTTCGTGCTCGCTCCGCCATAACGAGTCGATCCGGACTCGGCCATCACTATTCTGGCGTACGTGGCGTTACCCCCATCCAGGCTGTTCCACGAAATTCTTTGGCGTTCGCTTTTGCGAGTGTAGCGAAGCAAGGGAGCATCACATCGCGACATCGTGAGGCTGAGGACGTAGATCTACCAAATCTGACGGTATAGGCCACGATTTTGGCTATCAGGAAGAACAACCACATGAAACATCATTGTGTATGATGTATGGGATGCAATTCGAGACGGGCTAGGAGAGGTGCCGCGAGCATTCATCGGGCATGGCGACAGCTGGAGGGGTGCGCGGGGAGATTGTGGTTGCTTGCACACATGCAGTAGTGGCGTTAGGTCTGGTCCACACGCCCTGAAAGGAGATGGGTGAAAGGGATGGTGATGGACGAGGGAACGGAGGTGTGGGGTTGGATCTGGATGCGCGAATTTCATTCAGGTTGAGCTGATTTCGCCAGCTCGTGTAACCTGAAACAGCGTTTCGCCAGCACACGAACCAAGCTGCTTTGGTGGATGCACGGAAGCCCATTCGTCGAGTATCGCAAATCTTTCTCGCCGACTTCGCCCTCCAAACCACCCTGCTACTTCTCTTGTTTGCGGTACTAGCAGAACCTCGACATAGTTAGTAGTCGTTCTACACAAACATCTAGATCGTAAGTACGCATCCTCCCATTGCAAGAAGAGGTGACTCGAATCGCCTCCACGAACCAGTACGAACGGCAGCGCCGTTCCCTCGCCCATTCATAGAACTATCATCTTTCGTGCGGGTCGCGTCCTCCCGCCACTTTTCTCCGCCTCGTCTCCGCCTCATTCCCGCGGCACACTTTCGGAATTCGCTAAGCCTCGCCATCACGCACCACGCACTGCAGATTGACTTACCCGCGCCGCTGCTGAGTCACTTCGAGAGCCGTAGAAACACGACAGTATCAGAAACCCTAGTAATTAGAGGTAAGCATCTCACGTTTCCCCGGTCGGCTCCGCATTGCAAGCATGAGGCTCACAGCCTACGAACCATGGCGCTCGTAGTTCTGTCAGGCCAATGTACGTGCAGCTTTTGGTTACATACTAAATCCCTTGCGGATTCCGCACACCGCCTAGAAACCAGCAAAGCCCCTTGACGCAGTGTTGCTTAGCATTGTTGTCCCAGCCCCTTCCCGTGCTGATTTTCCTCGCCCTGGTCCATAGATTTACGCTGCCACTTCCAGGCTCTGACCGGGCTCGCCTGTGACACACCCACCTAGGCGGTGAGTGACCCAACCTGTGACTTACGTTGCGTGTGGCTGACCTCGCTTGTGCTTGACCTGGGGACTGACCTAGCTTCAATAGCTTCCGACTGACCTATTTTGTAAATAACTCAGCTTGTCGCTTACCTAGCCTCTGACTTAACATATCTCCTGACTGACCTAGATTGTGCGGCAGCTAGTTCTTGATTGACTTGGTTTTTGACCAAAATAGCCAGAGAGTGACCTAGCCAGAGAGTGACCTAGCCAGAGAGTGACCTAGTCAGTGAGTAGTGACCTCCTTGCCTTGAACTGACTTAGATTGTGACTGATCGAGCCTATACTGTCCTAGCTATGAAGGGCCAAGCTTGTGAAGAACCTAGCATTTGAGTGGCCTAGCCTGTGACCCGTGAGCCAAACCTGTCTCGACCTCTCAAGGTGTAATCAAACATGTCTCACGCTCTCCGGCGACTTCATTCAATGCTGGAGGTATGAAGAACGAGGTATTGACTTCAATGCATCAGTGCTGACTTGGGCATATGATAGAAAACCACCAGTACGCATTGGTTTCCGGTCAGCCCCAAAATTTGAGCCCGATCAGCTCGCTGAGTGTTGAGTTGAGTTCAAGCCATGTTTGGGAGTAGAGCCCAGGAATCTTCCATCTCGGCTCAAAGAGCACCTCAGACAGTCAAGCCTTTGCTCATACTGTTTATGCTATTCATACCCATTGTTGTCTCCTTTGGCTCACTCGTACTTTCAGATCCCCTCGTTGTGTGCTCGCTCAGGCATCCCTCGTCTGTGTCACTGTGGTAAGAAGCATGGCTGGCAGAGCCACAATATCATATTTCATATGTCAAGCTGAGTTGAGCTCTTCGCCTAGTGGTCATCGCTGCTCCGCATTCTCATGCAGCTACCCATCTTGCTGCCTTCCCCTCTCGAATTCCGTTCTGGCCTCTTGCTCTTGGTTCTACTGCCTCTTTTTGAACCCCACAACTCACCTACTTGTATTGACGTCAAGGTGTGGTGGGAGTGTCAGTATCGGTTTCCACAGCGAATGCACTTTCGTTTTGTAAGGTGTTAAACGGGATTAGCCCTCTACCTTGGCTTTACTATTTGGGGTTTTTTTAGAGGCTTATCTAAGCACGCTCGCATTGCCCCTCCTGACATCTGGTCCTCTGCTCGTCCTCCTGGCCTCCCTCCGTTCTGCTACCATCTCAATGCATGTCAAATGCATGTATGTGCAGAAACATTGACTTTCACCTGCTTAACCCGCACATGTGCTTGATCAATTTCTCCATCTTGCCATCAGGTCTCCCTCTTTGTTTTCTCCTTAGTTCTTCTCCAACTCACACTAGGCGTCGTCCCTCACTCATGCAATGTAGTTTCCTCATATGCGTATTCTTTACCCTCCCTCTTCCTCCTGTCATTGTGCATTGCCCTTCTCTCTCAGCACACTCAACTCTACCCTGCCTTCTCGTCGCCCTATTTTGTTGTATTTACTTCGCCAGTCTCGAGTGAAAACGGCAGTTGAACGCTGAAATCAGTCAGACATCGAACGGGGGTTGTTTGGAAGGAGTGAGTAGATGGTATGGGTGCTGAGAGAGTATCAAGTGCGCTGAACGAGTTGATCAAAGAGGCGGTGCTGGCAGCAGTGAGAGAGGAGCTGGCTGCACACAAGGAGGAGGTGGATGAGCTGCGACACATGTTGACAGCAGTGGAGGGGGAGTTGGCAGCGGTGAAGGAAGAGTTGGCAGCAGTGAGAGGGGAGTTGGCAAGACACAAGGAGCATTGGGCTGAGAGTGGTAGGTCAATGGATGTATGGGGGCCGGGAGGGAAGAGTAGAAAGAGAACACAAGATATGAGCTTGGAGTTTGCACGGGAAGAGGAGAGGCCGGAGGTGCGGGAGTTGTGTTGGCCACGTGATTCTGAAGGTTTGACAGCCTGTAAGGACCGGCAGATGATACAAGGTTTGAAGCTGGACGTGGACCTGAAAATTCGCCAGAGTGAAGGCGATCAAAAGACTGCATGGCTGGTGGGTGCTCAGTGAACTGTTTCCCAGGTGATTGCATGCATAGCTTGCTTGTTCCATCTTACTAACTTGGTTATCCATTCCTTGTCATGTTTTCCCTCCTCGCTCGCCCATTTCCCCCAGGCAATCGAATCAGCATCAACGAGTCACGTACCCATGCTGAACCTCCAGTATCTCCATGGCCTCTCGGACGCCATCCTTGGCCACGTGTCCACAATGACACATCTGAAGAGCATTGACTTGTCCTCTAGCTCAGGTGCCAGTGCAGAGGGCATCAAGCACCTCTACAGACTGCAATGGCTGGAGAAGCTCAACTTCAGCAAATCGGACGTCCTAGACTCTGCCTTGGAAAGCATTGGTTCTTTGAGCAGCCTCAAACAGCTCTTGCTCTCGTTTACCAAGTTGACTGATGCCGGTCTATCGCACTTGACAGGTCTCTCGTCACTCCAACTGCTGAGCCTTACCGAATGCATGGGTGTGACAAATGCTAGCATGGTGAATGTGGGGAGGCTGACAGGTCTTGAGGAACTTTGGTTGGGTGGGACGGCAGTCACAGATGATGGGCTGCAGCAGCTGACTGCCCTGATCAAGTTGAAAGGTCTTTGGACGTCAGAAGAGGATTACCTTCGAAACGATGAGGTTTACAAGAGGATAGGCTGGTCTGGTGGCAGGGATAGATGATGGAAAGTGAGTTGAGGTGAGGGCAGCCGTGAAACAGAAAGAACTGGGCATGTGTCTGCCATGGCAAGGCTTTGCTTGTTCACAGCCTAAAGTAGGGTGCTGTGACTGGCCGGGTGGACTGGACTGGCTGGCAGGGTGGACTGGACTGTGGCTGGCAGGGTGGACTGGACTGTGGCTGACAGGGTGGACTGGACTGTGGCTGGCAGGGTGGACTGGACCAGGGCTGACGTTTCAGTTTTTGGGCTCCCTGACGGGAAAAAAAATCTTCCCCGTCAAGTCTGAAGGCACTTCGGCCAAAAAATGGCCACTCTGATTGCTCAGTCTTGAGAAAACGCATTGTCTGTCCACTCAGGGTTGGTGGGCTCGATTCAGGGACGTGGGGTCGGAGTGCCGACTGTTGCAAAATGTAGAATTTTTGGCTTGCGCTGACTGTTGCAGTCACGTACAGTAGCACATGATCGAGTGGCAACAGTGTGATGCTGCAGCAGTCAGCGTCGCGCCACTGCATTTGCGCTGACTGTTGCCTACAAATCAGCGAAAATTTTGACCTACCAATGTATTACACTCTGTGTGCACCAATGTTAACTCGCTGCATTTGACCTCTAAGCACCGAACAGTGCGATACATTACATCTGGCAAGATTTTCTCTGCTAAAAGATTCGCTTTCTTAATCACCCACTCGTTGAGCGATTGACTAAATTTTTTCTTTTTGGCTCATGTTCTTTCGCTTCACCGAAAATTTCGTGACGTCACCGACAATTAAGTGTAGTCGTGTGTCACAGAGGTGCAGCGCGCTTTGCTCACGTGCTCGAACCCCACTGCCCCCTCGGAGGTGGGTATATCGAGAGGAAGTTTCCGAGAAACTTCGTCCCGATAGACTCGCATTCAGGGCCCACGTAATTGATACTCTGTACGGTAGTACCAGGCTCCACAAAAACTATTCTCTGGAGTACATTACATGAAATCAGGGCCCCTAAAACAGTAACTCTGAAGCACTCAAGGACAAAAAATCAACTAATCTGAAAAGTCAGTTTCCAGTGCCTAGAGACGCTGATTCGTCAGACTGATCAGAGTATTTAGTCTGATAGCGTCAGCCCTGGACTGGACTGTGGCTGGCAGGGTGGACTGTGAGAATCATGGGGATACTGTAAAGAGGCGTGGCATGGAGGCAAGGGTGTGGAAACAGGGATAACCAAGCACAGTTGGTGGCTTGGCAATGCTTTGACTCTGTGCGGCACAAAAGAATGCCTTGAAGTCGCAACCAAACGCATTTCAGAGCCATGTAGGAATTAGATACTGTTAGGATACTAGGACAAGAATGGATCGACTAGGTCAAGGTTTGGGTACAAGAAAGAGAATGTCGAGAAAATATTTGTACCCCCTAAAGCTATCCCCAATGCAACCTAGATTATAATATGCATATATTTGACACACCCCCATAGGTGAAATGGGGGATAGCCAGAGCAAGCAACGGTCACAAGACCAGTCAAGAGACAAAACACAGCTCAGGGTGGATCACAACGTCACCACTCAAACTGAGCACAAGCAAACGGCCACAGGGCCAGTTCACATGCAGAGATATATAAGCAACAAGAACCGTACAGTGATCTCTAGCTAGCAAGAGCCAACATGCAGGTATATATATAGATCACAGTACAAACAAAGGCTACAGCAAGTGTGGAAACGTCGGCACAAGGCCCAACAAAGTACAAAAGCGCTGATGATCACCAGACGGAAGTGCCTTGGTGAATATATCAGCAGTGTTGGCCCGAGTGTCCACGTGACGGAGACGAAGCTGGCCTCGCTGCTGCAACTCTCGAGCCAGGAAGTAACGCAGAGCAATGTGCTTCGTTCTGTGCTCCAGTCTGTGCTCCTAACACAAGGCAATGGCAGCCTTGTTGTCGACGTACAGCACTGGAGGAGAACGAGGCCGCTCTCCCAGGTCGGTCAGCAGGTAGGTGAGCCAACGCAACTCCTGTGCAGCCATGGCAGTGGCGTAGATCTCAGCCTCACAACTGGAGCTGAGAACAGAAAACGAGCGAGTAGAACGCCAAGAAACAGAGCCAGAGCCAAGGCTGAAAGTGTAACCCTGTGACGACCGCTGCGTAGTCTGGTCGTCAACCCAAGAAGCGTCTGAGTGCCTAGTGAGGACAACTCTGTCCCGTCCTCCAAGCACTAGCCCCATGCCCGATGTACTGCACAAGTAACGCAGTACCCTCTTTGCAGCATCCATGTGCACCTTTCGGTGCCGACCAGGAGCCACGTAGCGTGCCAGAAGGCCAAGAGGGTATGCAAGGTCAGGACGAGTGCAGGTCATCAGGTACATGAGGCAGCCCACTAGCTCTGGGTAAGGACCACTCGGCTCTACGGACTCGTCCGAAGGTGGAGCTGAGAGCGAGTGACCTGTCGCCAGAGGAGTGGCCTGTGCCGAGGACCAGGTGAAGCCGAAGCGCTGAAGGACCTGCTGCACCATGTGTGACTGAGTCAGTGTGATGGTGTGGCGTGCTCTGTCCCAGGTGATCTGCAAGCCAAGGTAACTGCGCAGCTCACCCAGGTCTGTGCACGTGTGTCTCTTCTGCAGTTCCGACTTCACCAGGACGAGAGCCTCAGTGTCAGCAGTAGCAAAGACCAAGTCGTCGACGTACACGAGGATGTAGAACGGCGGCAGCGAGGTGTCGGTGCGCAGAAACAGCGACGGGTCAGCAGTCGAAGGAGCAAACCCAAGAGCCGCAAGTGTCGTCCTCAGTGTGTCGTGCCACTCACGTGGCGCCTGGCGGAGACCGTAGACTGGCCGCCGGAGGCTCCACTGGGTACCAGGAGGGAACGACCCAGTGAAGCCAGGAGGGCAGCGCAGCCAGATCTCCTCGTGCAGGCTGCCCTGCAAGAAAGCTGTGCTGAAGTCCAGAGAGTGAAGCTCGTAGTCACGCTGTGCGGCAACGTGCAGCAGCACCCGAAGAGTGGTCAACTTCGGGGTAGGAGAGAAGGTCTGGAAGAAGTCGACTCCCTCTCGCTGACTGAAGCCTCGAGCAACGTAACGAGCCTTGAAGACAGGCGGAGAACCCGGCGGCCGCTTCACCCTGAAAATCCACATGCCACTGACGATGTTCGCCCCAGGAGGGGGAACCTCGTCGACGTAGGTGCCTGTGGACTTCCAGGATGCCATCTCTGCGTCCATGGCTGTCTGCCACTGAGAGGAGTACTCACCCGCGATCGCCTCAGCGTAAGAGCGCGGGGTCGGGATGTCTGGTGCATCCGGGTCTCCCTCAGGGGCAAGCAGCATGGCCACGAGATGAGGCGCAGCGGCTGCGAGACACTCAAGGTCCTCGTGCCTGTCCTCAAGGACGTCCGTGCCAAGAGCACACTCACCCCCGACGGACGGAGGACAGACAGACTCAGACTCAGCAACAAGACTGGCAGCGTAGTCTAGACGACAGGCAGCAGCAAAGTCAACAAGCTCAGTGACCAAGGCAGACGCAGCAGCAGACTCAAACGACGGGTCAGTGACAACAGTGGCTAGCAGACGCGTGACAGTAGGGTGCTCAGCACGAAACCGATCAGACTCAGGGTCCGGAACAGCAGGCAGAGAGGACGCAGGGGGGGACGGCAGAGGAGCAGACTGCGGAGCAGCAGAAGGACGGCGAGCAACAAGGCGCGTGCTGGGGACAGCCGGCTGACGCGTATGAGAAACACGACGACCAGCACGACCAGAGCGAACAGGCGAGACAGGACGCGACGCAGGCTCACGACGCTCAGTAAGACCTCCTGTCTGCTCAGTGTAAGGAGGAGGAGCAGGCAGCGGTGAGCCAGGCGGTAACGGAAGACCAGTGGACGACGGGAGAGTAAGAACCTGACGGAGAACAGAGTCAGGCGGCGGCAGAGACGACGAAGACGGCGGAGCGAAGAACAGTCGTGTCGGCGCAGCTGCACCAGCACCAACAGCCCCAGGAGCTCCAGGGTCTCCAGTAGCTCCAGCACCGCCAGCAGCTCCAGCACCTCCAGCAGCTCCAGCACCTCCAGCAGCTCCAGCACCTCCAGCAGCTCCAGCACCTCCAGTAGCGCCAGAAGCCCCAGCCGCAGAACCGGGACCTCCAGCGCCAGTGTCACCAGCAGTAGCACCCCCAGAACCGGCACCTCCAGCCACAGGGCCGCCAACCGCAGAGTCGCCCGCAGCACCACCCCCAGAACCGGTACCTCCAGTCCCAGGGTCTCCAGCAGCAGCACCTCCAGACGCAGCACCCCCAGCCCCAGCAGCTCCAGTACCCTCAGCAGCAGAGCCTCGGGCGCCAGCAGCGCGAACCTGACGGCGACCGTACCAGTCGTGCAGCTGCTGTGGAGTGAGAGGCACACGCGAACGAAGGCGGCCACGCCAAGGAGACCGCGCAGCAGCAGTCTCAGAACCCGCAAGTGTCTCACCTCCAGACGCAGCACCCCCAACTCCGCACACACAGGCTCAGCACCCCCAGACTCAGCACCCCCAGACTCAGTACCCCCAGGCGCAAGGCCTCTAGTCTCCTCACACGCAGGCTCACCACCCCCAGTGTCAGCACCCCCAGACTCCGCACCCCCAGGAGCACCGCCCTCAACAACACCAGAGTCAACAGGAACCGGTGGTAGAGGCGGGGAGGAAGGTCGTGGAGGAAACCCCCGAGGGGTCTCCAAGCGTGGAGCGCGGCGGGAGGCCGTCGGGGCGTCAGCAGCAACGTCACCCCCCTCAGGTGGGCCAGAGGCGTCGAAAGTGACCTCCAAAGGCTTAGCCAAGGGGGGGGGGGTCCACCTGAGACACACTTGAAGGAGCAGGACCCTGAGGGGGGAGGGGGTCTACCGGGGGGGGACCTGGCGCAAGGAAAAGCGGTGGGGGCGGCAGGGGGGCAGCGCGGTAGGGGAAGAGACGGTAGTACGGAACCGACTCGTCAAACGTGACGTCCTGGGAGGACAGAACACGGCGCGAGGTGGGGTGGTAAAACTGCCAACCAGGCGCGTCAGGGGGGAAGCCAAGGAAG